TAGGGGTTAGGGGTTAGGGTTTAGGGGTTAGGGGTTAGGGGTTAGGGGTTAGGGTTTAGGGTTTAGGGTTTAGGGGTTAGGGGTTTGGGGTTTGGGGTTTAGGGTTTAGGGTTTTTTTTTGGAAAAGGGGACGGAACCCCAGGAAAACTTTTATTGAAATAAAAAAGATACAAAAGAATAGGAGTGGGCATACCCATCCATACATATGTAAAGTATAAAAACAAGACCCCAAAAAATAAAACAAACCAAGTCCTAATAAAAAGGACAAAGCCCAAAAAAGAAAACCAGGCCTAAACAAAATATATGAGTCCAAGAGCAAATAAAGTCGACAATGCAAGCACCATAAGCCATAGATCCAGGTGGCCCAAAGCTGAATCAGCAGCCCAATCCAACCAACAGCCCACATATAGACGGAAGTACAATCCAAGAGATAGAAGTCCAGCCCATATAATGATACATAAATCACGTGGACATATCCCTAAGGCCCAAGAGAGAACAAACCCAAACCATATCAATACCAAACACCATCAGCGAGACAGAAACCCAAAATCCATCTTCTACCTCCGCCGGCGAAATCATCACCTCCAGCCGGCGAATCGTCACCTCCAGCCTGCGAAACATCACCCCCAGCTGGCGAAACAAACACCACCCTACGGCGAGACCGCAACCTTTCACAATCGGCCGACAACAAACCCTAACCAATCTCAGCCGACATCGAGTATAAGTCCCCATTCGGCCGACGGCTCCACCAACAAACAGCCAATGACAAGAACAAAACCACAAATCGGCGACCCCACCACCCCAATCGGCGTCCCTCACCACCATTCTGCCGTCGAACGGAGGTATCGAAAAACCCACATCAAACAGCCCTTCGAAAACAATTATTCCAAAAAATCATCTCCTCAATTCCAGCACCATTTGAATCGGGAAAAGCTTAGAAATTTGTCCACTTGTGCAGCATAACAGTCGACAATCCCCACCACCAGACGACTGTTGATTTGAGGCATCAAAGATCCTACATTTTCTATAACCAATTTGTCTTTAAACAGGAAAAGCTAAGAAATTTGTCCACTTGTGCAGCATAGGTTAGATGGTGGCTGCACAAATGTTTGTAGGACCAAATTTTAGCAACTGCAACATCAATTTGAAAACAGCTTCAGAAAATCAGCAATCTTTATCTTTCAGCAACCTTGAAAGTGAACACAGAGCACACACCAAGGATTCCACAATCAAAATGGTCCCAAATTGTAGCAGCATAGGGTAGCTAGTAGCTGCACAATCTGTGAATGGGACCCTATTTCAAAAATAAACACGCTTGAGGGGCAAAACAGCTTACATCATAATTGAGCTACCTAAAAGAGATAGAAGGTCTACATCCCTCACCCTCCAGACAACTATCAAATATAATTGGGATCCAATAATGGGAAACCAAACCTCATCTATCAAAAAGCTAAAGAAAGAAGGGCCAGAGGAACAATCCTGTAAAAAATATAAACAGTGCTCATACCAATAACAAACCTCAAAACCTTATAACTCCAAATTCCCTCAAAACAAACAAGAGCCAAAAGAAGTAGGCTGAAAGAAGGAATGAAAAAGGCATAGTAGGATGGACCAAGAAAGGATCACATTATGATACACATTTGGCCAGATCAGAGATCAACAGCCCAAATATCACAAATGTGCCCAAGCACACTATATGGTAGGATCGTAAGATCAACCACCAACTAAGTGCTATGACATAAAAATAAAAGATCCAACAAGATAATATGAGCCAACAAAACAGAGAAAACAGGATCAGGAACAAAAATTCAATCCTCGGCCAACCACCAAAAGGTAAACATGATAAGACAGCCAAAAGCATTAACTAAAACAGTCCTAACCTCCATAACCAACCAAAACCTCGCATCCCCCTTATCACTCCATTAACAGACAGCCTCAAGACACCCTCCCAAACCTCCTTATCACCCAAAAATGTTAAAATGTACCTGCAATACAAATTGTTAGTTAAAAAAATATATTTCCCGGTCCCCCCGTCAAAACCCAGAGTAACCCAAAATTTTCCGGTCCCCCCGTAAAAAAAACCCACCCCATGGATTCTCAGAATGCAGTAACACACAACTCTCTCTACCTCTCAAGAAATGAACCAAGGAACTCTCAACCGTAAGCCAGAACAGAAACCAGCATCACTTATCAACTTTCTGTCCATCTTTATTGCCCCAATCAGTAAAGCCCCATTTCCTCATAGCTTGATTATATAGGCTTCCTTTCTTGATATCAGCACCCATCAGCTTAATTCTAATGCAATCTTTTATTATGGAGCATATACCATCCACCTGCCTTTCTTTATTTTGGAAAATTCTAAAATTCCTTTCTTGCCATATAAAATAAACAACAGCCCCAACCAACCATCTCTTGATTAAACTCCAACAAGATTTCTTACACGGAATATTACTGAGCTTACAAACAAACCTGGCCCATCCATCATCTTTATCAATAACGTCCATAAAGAAGCCATCCATATTAACCAAACCAAGAAACATCCTCCAGACCTCCTTAGTGTATTCACAGTCAAGAAATAAATGCTTATGGGACTCCTTCTGTTTATCACACAGAACACAATCCGTTATAACCTCAATGTTCCAATTAACCAGTTTATCCCTTGTTCTCAGTCTCTCTTTGACAGCCAACCAAAAAATAAACGCATGCCTAGGGATGTTCTGATGAAACCACACCCAGTCAGCCCACCCAACTACCTCTCTACTTTGCTGAACTTCTTTCCAAACAACATCAGCTCCAAAATCCATTGTTCTGCCTTGTCTATCTCTCCACTTTACCACATCAGAAACATTTGGTCTCAGTCTAGGTTTGTAGCTACCCAAGACATTACTATGCTTTTCCATTAAAACATCCGGCCATTTCCAATGATACCCATCCCAGAGATCTTTTACTTTGCAATTAATTGAAAGACCAGCTTCATAGATATCCCTTTTAGAGATGAACAGACTTAGAGGACCCGCTGGGTGCCAATTATCAAACCAGAGAGAAGTTTTAGCACCATCCCCTATTAGATGAGTAATGTTGCCTCTAAATTTACTCCGAATTCTCACAATCTTCCTCCAACCCCAGGCTGAATCATTTACCTCATGAACATCCCAGAAATTCCTGCCTTTCATTCTATACATATGCACCCATTTGACCCATAAAGATTTCCGTTCATCAATAATACTCCAAATATGCTTGGCGAGGAGTGTCACATTCCAATCCCTTAATGATCTCATACCCAGACCACCCTGGTTCTTCTCATAACAAATTTCTTTCCAAGCAACTTTTGCTTTACCTTTTATCCCATCCCATCCATCCCACAAAAACTTCTTCATAATGCTTTCGATTTCTTTTAGGACAGAAATAGGAATCAAAAAAATAGAGGACCAATACACTTGTATGGATGAAACAACTTATTTTAGCAATTGAAGTCTACCAGCAAACGATAGACTCTTGTTCTTCCAATCCATCACCTTCGATTTCACTTTATCAATCAAATTTCTGCAATCTTTATGGTACAATTTGGTAGCAAGCAATGGGACTCCCAAATATTTTACCAGCAGCGTACCAACTTGAAAAGGTAATACTTCCATAATGTTCACCCTGTTCTGGTCATTTATATTGCCCAAAAAAGATGTACTCTTATTCATATTAGGTCTCAACCCAGATATCTCACTGAATTCATTTAGAGCTTCCTTAATTATCTTCACAGAGTTAACATCCCCATGACAGAAAACCATCAGATCATCCGCAAAACATAAATGTGTTAATGCTAACTTTTTGCATCTATCATGATATTTAAAACCCCCATTCACCCTAATCTTTCTTTTCAAAATAAGATTGAAAACCTCCATCACTAACGTAAAAAGATAAGGTGATAAAGGATCACCTTGCCTTAGCCCTCTTTTACCCATAAAATGGCCATGTTGCTCCCCATTCACGCTGATAGCAAAGGWAACAGATGTGATGCATTTCATCAACCAATGAACCATACAAGGATGAAATCCAAACATTTTCAAACAAACTTCAAGAAATTCCCAATTCACCGTGTCATAGGCTTTTTGTATATCAATCTTGAAAGCACACCTCTTCACACCTCTATTTCTATGATAGCCCCTCATAAGTTCTTGAGCAAGAAGAATGTTATCACCGATTTGCCTCTGAGGAATGAAAGCAGATTGGTTCTCATCCACAACCAAATACAAAAAGTCTTTTATCCGATTAGCCAAAATCTTACTAATACATTTATATAGCACATTGCAACATGCTATAGGCCTGTAGTCAGTAACAGAAGACGCAGAAGGAACTTTAGGGACAAGAGCAATAAGYGTAGCATTGACTTCACCCAACAATTTGCCATTCTCRAAGAATTGTTTTACCGCTTCACAAACATCATCACCCACAATACTCCATGCAGCTTTAAAAAACTTCACACTGAAACCATCAGGACCAGGGGACTTATCATCATCAATGCTAAACATAGCCTTCTTAATTTCTTCATTGCCAACGTCTCTGACCATAAAATCAGCATCCTCTCTTTTAAAACTATTGACAAACAAATTAACAGGATCATGAATCTTTTCAACCTTAACGCTTTTCCCCAGGAAATCTTCAAAATGTTTCACAAACTGAGCTGCCACGTCATTTTCCTCATACCAGTTACCTTCCACATCCTGGACTCTAACAATTCTGCTTCTATTAATTCTTCCTTTGACAACTTTATGAAAATATGCAGAATTGCTGTCTCCCTCTTTTAACCACGAAACTTTAGCCCTTTGCCTCAAATACATTTCTTCTCTGACCAACGCATCTTTGTAAGCCTTTAAATAAAAAGCCTCCTCCACCCTAAGATCAACATTCTCAGGATCATCAACCATATCCTTCTGAACCTTTTCCARCTCAGACCGAAGATTAGCAGTCACAACAGATACTTTGCCCTTTAAATTCTGCAATTTTCTCAAAGGACCTTTCAAACCTTTAAGTCTTGACACCACAGAATACATTTTGCATCCTGTAAATTGTTTACTCCAACCACTACCCACAGCAGGAAGAAATCCATCCATTGAAGCAATATGATTATCAAATTTAAAAGATTTCGGCTGATATTTCACCACAGTAGGAATCGAAATAAGCATAGGAGCATGATCTGAAATATTAAAAGGCAAAAAAACCACATGGGTCTTGGGGAAAACATCAAGAAAACTCATATTACCCATAACCCGATCCAGCTTCTTAAGCACACCCTTATAACTACCTTTAGCAAGAGGCTTCTGTATCCAGGTAAAAAACAAACCAGAGTAGTTTATATCTTCCACTTCAATCTCATTAATACAATCTCTGAAGTCAGCCATGCCTCTAGATAATGAAGACGATCCCAACGAGCTCTCATCAACATTAAGAGATACATTGAAATCACCAGTAACAACCCAAGGCTCATCATGTATAACAGATTTATGAAAACAAAGTTGATCCCACAGCGTTCTTCTGTCAATGCAATTATTTGAGGCATATATGAAGGAAAAGAAGAAAGACTTCATAGAATCCATTAAAACCACCCTACAATGGATTACCTGAGAAAAGACTTTAATCACCTCGACTTTCATTATACTAGCATCCCATCCAACCAAGATTCTGGTTCTGTTTCTATCACATTCAGAATTAGAAATCCAGTCCCATCTCCCAAAAACTTCAGAGCACACCTTCACCAAATTTTTATCTTTAACTTTTGTTTCAAGAAGACAACAAAGCTTAACTCCATACTTTAAAATAAGCTCCTTAACAAC